CCTCTCCCCTGCAAGGGGGCACACGACTTCCACGCTCGTCAAACATTCACACACGTACAAGTCTATTTATTTCTCGGTTTATTTTGATTACATTTAAGCAATGGAAAGGTTATTATTACGATGCAGGGGGGGAGCAGGGGTGAGAGTCGAAGGTGAGAGTCGTGCGCCCCTTTGCAGGGGGAGGGCGGGATGAGAGTCGAAGGTAAGATTCGCGCGCCCCTCTGCAGGGGTTGAGGAGGGACGAGAGTCGAAGGTGAGAGTCGAGCACCCCTTTGCAGGGGGTGAGGGGGGGATGAGAGTCGAAGGTGAGAGTCGTGCGCCCCTTTGCAAAGGGAAGGGGAGGTGAGAGTCGAAGGTCAGAGTTATCTAAGGTATGTAAAGCAGTTAAAGAATTACTAACTTAACTGTTAATAACTTTTTAACAAAGGACGAACGATGGCTAAAACCTGTTGGAGGTTATTCAGGATCATGACCTTGACAATATATGTCAAGGTCATGGTCATTGGGGGGGGGTCCCCTAATCGGAATTTTTACCGAACTTATAATAAATAAACAAAGAAAATTGAAATGGATGAGAAATGAAGTTTGTCATTTTGAAATTTGAAATTCTGACATTAAATTCGTATTTAATAACTTCGAAAACTTATATGTATCAATTATCACCTCATATGTATAAATCAATACACAGAAATACTCTGCACATTTTAGGGTCGCTTTTGCATTTTAAAGTCTTATGGTTGAGCATTTTTCGTTTATACAAAGGATTAGTAGCTCACATTAGAAATTGAAAATCTAATAAGTTTGAAGAAACTAATACTTTAATGGGTCATTAAAATAAATATCGCATTCCTTATTTTTATTTTTATTTGGTGACTATTCAACAAGATTCTTTTTCTTCACGTTGGCTAAATTTTCATTTATATTTAATTTTATTTATGTCTTTTTAGGTTCTGAAGACATCAATATCACCTCTACCTCATCGATCAAAACCAATCAGTAAACAGAAAGATTCCGAATTAGATTATTTGGATGAGTTTTCATCTAAGAGTAAAAAGAACATATATGGTAAAAAAAGAAAACGTTAATCGATTTCACATCCTTATAAAAATTTCAAATAATTGCATTCTCTCATTTCACTTGAAACATAGAAAGTTTTTCTTCTATCAAATTGCAAATGCTATTGCATGGAACTAACTGATATACGTGTATTTTGTGTTTGTGTATAAACAAAGAATTGTTTGTGTCATATATTCAATAACACACAGAGTGTTCATAATTTATAATTTTTCAATGATAGACTTCCGAGCAATTTATAGTCAAATGATAATGTCATGGAAACCATTAGATTTGTCGCAATTTTTAACATTGAATTTTGTCCTAAATTAAAACAATATAAAATTCTTTCAAAATAGAAGTCTGCTCGAAATTAACTTAAGAGCTTAATTAACGAAAGAGTATGATTTTATTTTTTTAAAGCTCGGTTTGTAAATTTTCTTTTTTGTGATTGTAATTCCGAAATTGGATTTCTATTTATATATTTCTGTTGATATAAATAATCACTTTGAAATTTATGAAAAATCAAAATTAAAATATTGTGAATTGTGAGACACCGAACACATTTATTTTACAACGTACTTGTCAATTAGGTTTTTCCTTTTTTTATGACTTCATTCGAGAGAAAAAATATTACACGAGTTTGAAAATGAATGTATAAATATTCATAGTACTAATTTTTTCGGTAATTATTTAGAATATGGGCCTCATCTCCGATTTTGATGAAATTGAATTCATTCGACGCTTTTTTACTCAAAATGGAAGAATCTGGCAAAAAAATACGGCGGTCGGCCTCGTGAACCGAGATATCAAGCGTTAAAGTTCGAGATTTTAGAAGTTAAGATCTCTGTTATCCCTACTTGATATAGCGCTATGTATATGTTCTGTTTTAATTACACAAATTCACTGCTTTAAAAACAAATTCTCTGCTTCACAAACACAAATTCACTGCTTTAAGAACACAAATTTTTTGCATTAACAGTGAATTTGTGTTTTTAAAGCAGTGAATTTGTGTTTGTGTGAAGCAGAGAATTTGTTTTTAAAGAAGTGAATTTGTGTTTGTGAAGCAGAGAATTTGTTTTTAAAGCAGAACGTATACATAGTATTATATCGAGGCTGTGTTCGTTTGGTGCCCACGACGCTTTAAGCGTTGTTTCATCCTTGTTATTTTTAAGTATTAAACAAGGATAATTGATGCTTACAAGCGCTGTGAGCGCCAAAGCGAACGTAGTCTGTCGGGATGACAGATGTCTTAACCTCTAAAATCTCGAACTTTAACGCTTTATATCTCGGTTGATGAGGCCGACCGTCGCATTTTTTTGCCAGATTCTTTCATTTTGAATAAAAACGCGTCGAGCCCGATTTCATCAACATCGGAGATGAGGCCTGTATTCTAAATTATCTTTTTTTCATGTCATGTTTCTATTTGTTTTGATAATAATGAAAAATTCTTAAATTACAATTTGGCAGAATACTGCATTATTGGGATTAAAAGGATTATATGCGATGTTATAGGCAATAAACCGGCAATAAATAATTTTTACATTGTGAGATTTATTTTACAATGTACGTGCAATATACGAACAAATGATTGATGAGTGGACATTGCTTTCGTAAATTCCAGGATGTTTATCAAAAGACTTTACACATATTTTATGCGATATTTGCGATGAGCGAGATGAATAAATTTACATACATACAAACAGGTAACAAGCTAATGTTATTTGTCATTTTAATGTCAAAATCTTGTCAAATACAAATAATGCTATCTTGCTACCACATAAGTTTCAAGTTTCAACATTCGTTAAATTTAAATTAGCATAAAATATTTTTATACCAATGGAATCTGTTTATAAATAAAATGTAAATTAAGATTAACTTGAGTTTTCATTATTAAGAATCGATATGAGTGACAAGTTAGTTCATTTATACTTCGTTTGCGGAGTAGATACATGTTTGCAATCTACCTAGATCTCTTCCAAGTAACTATGGGTGCGTTCCGAGTTACGCATGAAGCGCGTGGACTGCAATACTGATGCACAACGCTTTGAAATCGTTCCATTTTTTCAATGCGCGCATAACACGCATGAAGCGCTTATGAATTCGGACCGGTTTCCTGTGCGAGCTGTGCGCTGAGTGGACTGTAGTGGGCTGAGTGATAATGTTAAAAATGGATATCGAACGAAACGTCAAGAAACGATTTACAGTATCAATGGTCACTTCATTGATATTTTTAAACAAAAACATCGAAAGTGACAGCTCGCAATCGAGCGAGGGTGAACATGAAGATGAATACCTTTCCTTAAGGGATATGCAAACATTGTATTGTACACTAATGGGGAGTAAAGCACATGGGAAAATGATTGCAACCGAAAAAATTACAGATTACGTTGATCGTATAATTTCTAATTACTCCAATATTGCATTTAAAGAGCATTTCAATATATATATTTATATAAACATTAAATTATAAAGATGAAATATTTTTGATTTGGTTTTGAAAAATTAATTTCACTTACATCATAACCTAACATTTTAGAATGTTTCCGGCAACATTTGAAATGATTTTATCATTAATCGGACCAACGCTAAATAAGACAAATACCATAACTGGAAGAAAACCAATTTCAGCAGAAAAAAAACTGTATATTGCTCTATGGTTTATGGCTACTCCTGATTCGTATAGGTATGTAAAATTTGTATAAACTATTTTTGTTTTGTAACTACCACTGTCGTTACATTGTTACAGTTTTTTCATTTTTTATATTATGGCTTATTGTAGATCCGTTTGCGTCAAATTTGGAGTGGGCAAAAAAACGGCTTTTAGAATCGTAAGACGTGTAACCTATGCATTGCATTGCATCGCGCCTTGATTCATTCAGTGGTCTGATGAAGCTGTTGCTACTAACATCAGCGATCAATTTTTAGAAGCTAGTGGCTTTCCAAATGTAATCGGTGATATAGATGGAACTCATATCAAGATCTGAGCTCCACACCAACAGATTCAGTTTCATACATAAACCGGAAAGGTTTCCCATCTATCAATCTTCAAGTAGTTTGTAATTCGAGGGGTCTCTTCATACACTGCTATGCAGGTCAAGTGGGATCAGTACATGATGCTTGGGTTTTCAGAAACTCTTCAGTGACACATTTTCTTGAGAGACCTGAGGTGTACTTCCCTAACAACTCTCATATTATAGGAGATGCAGCATATCCGATTTATCCCCACGTAATGGTTCCATTTCGAGACAATGGACATTTGACAAGTCAACAAAAAAATTTTAATTATTGTCTATCTTCAACAAGAATGGCAGTTGAACGGGCGATTGGCCTATTGAAGATACGTTTTAAAATATTATTAGACTGTTTACTACGGACAGACGTTAAAAAGATTCCAGAGTTCATTATAGCGTGTAGTGTCTTACGCAATATTTGTTTATTACAAAATGATATTATGACTGTCGGTGTCCAACATTATGAAGAATATCAGGCCCAAATTCGCGATAATAACACTGATTTAGGAAATGAAATATTTCCAAAAGAATAATAATAATGAATGCTTTGCCAATAAAAATAAATGCATGATTATAAAAGAATTTTTTAATGTTATAATTTTAATAGAAATGAATTTGAAAAATCATTTTGTTACCTATTTAAAATAAATGTGTAGGATCTATCAACGAATTTGTATAAAAAATTTTGTATTGTATTTTTAAATGAATAAACGTTTAGGTTAATGGACATTCGTTTCTGCTTAATCTTTGGTTTTATTTCCATTATCAAATCTTATTCAAAACATTCAAATTGTGTATTTTGTAAGCCTCCCCTACAAAGAAACATTTTTCAAACATTAAAAAAGTATTTTATATTTTTTAATATTTTATTTTTTTAACACAAATATAAACAATTTATTTTTATTAAATGATAAAACGTATTTTATGAAAAATATTTTTCAAATGATGTATAAGTTCCATATTAAACTTATATTAAATAAAAGTTTTTAAAAGTTTTTAAATGAACAAACTATTAATAATTTTAATACAAAACTTAATCAAACTTTTAACTAAAGGTCAATAAACTTTCTTGTTAAAAAAACTGAAAAAACTCGACAAAAAGCACCATGAAAGGTTTTTATCTAAGTGATGGCTCGGAAGCCTGGAAAAGTAAATAAGCGTGCAAGTAAACGCCTTCTTAATCTTATTTCTTATAAAACTACAAGAAACTATATTTTATTTTAAAAATTGTAAAATGGATACTAAAGATTTTTGAACATCCATTTGCTCCTTATGTCTTCTCTCGCGATCTTGTCTATTTTTTCTCGAATTTCTTTGTGCTTTGTCTCTCTTCTTTTTCTTTCTTCTCTTTTTTCTTCTTTTTCTGCGGCTATATTTTCTACTAATTCTTCCAAAATGTGTTCCACCCGTTTTCTCTTCCTCTGTAGATCTGTATTGGATAACGTAAAAATGACTATTACTAGATCAATCATGTACATAATAAATATATAACCTTTAGATCTTTATTAATGCAACTAATTTCTTTTTAACCTCACTATATATTACAAAATATTAATCTTTTACGCTAAACATAGTAATCCATTTATTAAATATTTACGAAATAAATTATCTGGAACTATAGATGTTTGATTAAGAAAAATATGTAAATAACATTTAAAGAATATATTATTTAACTCAGTGGAGATAATTTTCAACAAAAAAATTCCGGTGTTCATAAAGTGTTTTAATACACGAGTTCTAATATATAAAATTATAATAAAATTGTTACCTAGTTCACCGCAGAAAATTTTTGAGAACGACATAAAATAAGAAATCAGAAACAAATTAAGATTTTATTTTTGCAGCAATTGTTTTCAAGTACTTACTTCTTACGTCAGAGCATGAAATCGTAGATGATGTTGGTGATAACTCCTTACAAGGGTTCACTAGACCATCAAGGAGTCGTCCCAGGGAACGTTTCTCAATACGTATTAGGTGCATTTAGTACCACGACCGCTCACTGAGCGCTCAGTGAGCTCTTACATCTGATTGGTATATTCGGTTAGAACTAAAAATATAGACTAAACAGATACAAGAGCTCACTGAGCGCTCAGTGAACGGTCGTGGTACTGAATGCACCCATTGACGGATCGAAGCGTCGACCAATCACCGACGATCCGTCGTTTTGTTTCCGGAAAACTTTTGTTCCACTATCCCATACAGCGGATCGAACGTAAACGGATGATCAAAGCACCAATTACGAAATTTTTCCGCTAGATCCATTTACAAAATAAAAATTGTTCGTAATTGGTGGGCCGCTGAACCGTATACGTAAAATCTTGCATGGGACAGTGGAAAGAAAATTTAACGGATGACGTATGTACGGATTGTATAATGTCAATAGTAAACAATCTCAAAGAAAACAACGTCATTATTCATTAGTTGCCTCAAGTAAATGTAATAATTGAAGTTTGATATAAATTATACAAAGAATTGACGAAAAGGTAACACATATCCATAATTGTATTACAATGAAATATGTACCAAGAATCGTATTATGTATATGATTCATTATTATGCCATAAACATGATGTTCACAATAAATTATTAAATACTTTTCTAAACAAAAATCAATATTTGTATAAGTTTTGCAGAAAAAAAATGGATAATACAGAAAACATGTTACTTGCTATGGGAGCGATAGCGCATCGCCTTAAGCGATGTAATCAACGATCTGTAAAAAAAAGATTACGTCGAAAGCTTTTGCAATTATGCACATTGTATGATGTTTTAACTAAAAATGTTTGTCGAAAAGAACGACGGTTTTGGATAAGGATGATATTTAGTGAGCAGCAACGTCTACTGCAAGAAGCGAGCAATAACTTAATAAAAGAGATGGAGCAAAATGATGAAGAAAAATTTAGAAACTACTTTCGAATGGACCCTGTCGTTTTTAGGAAACTACTTGATTTAGTGATGCCATTGATAACGAAGAATAGTAATGTCAGAAAAGCGATCTCAGCTAAAACACGTTTGCGCATAACTGTTTGAAACACGTTTGCACATCCATTTTTGAAACACGTTTGCACATCCATTTTTTTCAGCAAAACTTATACAAATATTGATTTTTGTTTAGAAAAGTATTTAATAATTTATTGTGAACATCATGTTTATGGCATAATAATGAATCATATACATAATACGATTCTTGGTACATATTTCATTGTAATACAATTATGGATATGTGTTACCTTTTCGTCAATTCTTTGTATAATTTATATCAAACTTCAATTATTACATTTACTTGAGGCAACTAATGAATAATGACGTTGTTTTCTTTGAGATTGTTTACTATTGACATTATACAATCCGTACATACGTCATCCGTTAAATTTTCTTTCCACTGTCCCATGCAAGATTTTACGTATACGGTTCAGCGGCCCACCAATTACGAACAATTTTTATTTTGTAAATGGATCTAGCGGAAAAATTTCGTAATTGGTGCTTTGATCATCCGTTTACGTTCGATCCGCTGTATGGGATAGTGGAACAAAAGTTTTCCGGAAACAAAACGACGGATCGTCGGTGACTGGTCGACGCTTTGATCCGTCAATACATACGTATTGAGAAACGCACCATGGGACGGCTCCCTCACTCGTCGCAATTGCAGGAGGATTAATTGAAACTTTATCACCAAATATTGAATCATAACCTATAGTATATAATAATAATAATAATAATAGTAACAAAATGTGTACAATAAAATATACTATTATACATGCATATAAAAACTAGGTATTTTACAATACATGATAAAACATTCTTATCGAAAAAAAAGCCCACGAACTTTTATGATTTCCGCTTTTCTTATTTAAATCAGCAATATTTTTATATGTCCGCTTTAAACCAGACATTTTGGACGCACATTGCTGACCTGTCACTTCATATGAAGAATTCGCCTCTTTCATCTCAGCAGCAATTTCAGTCCAGATTTTATTGCTACGCTTTAATCCAGTAGAGAAATCTTCTTCTCTTTCTCGGTACATTTCCAATAACAAAAATACTGCCTTGTCTGGCCATACAAATACCTTTGACTTGTTTAAAAGCATTAATTTAAAAAGTAAACACAACTATTAAATCATCAAAATATGATCTTTTACATTATTCTTAATCTTGAATATACATGCTTCTAAATAAAATTAAAAGGTTAATTGCAGATACTCTGATTACACAAAAATATATATATATAAATTGTATAATTACCATAAACTATTTGTATTTACCTGCATTGTTTTTGTCGACAGCATTTTCATCTGTATGTTCTGGTGCTACTGGTACCTCATTAATTTGTTGTTGTTTTGTTTCTTTCGCAATAAGTTGGGTTAAAAAAGCTTCATCTATAAGAAGAGCACAATCATTAACCTGGCGTCTAATCTTACAATTTATAAAGTAAATCATAATCTATGTAAACACATTAGAGTTTTACCTTGTGTTGCTCTCTCCATAGCTTTTTTGCTTAAAAATAAGGTAATTATTTCGTTTTTCTCCTCAATATATACAAGAAATTCATAATTGTTTTTCATTCATTATTATCTGAGCTTGTTGGAAACACGGTGTGTTAAGTACGTATGAGTGTCGAGCGTGGATGTCGAGAATTTTGTACAAAAATATGCTTTCGTGTGAGCGATAGTATTCATGAGCAAACACAATTCGAATCAGCGTTTCCACAGACTTCAATTTGTAGGAACCGGCGTACTGCTCTGCAATCGGTGCAATCTGAGTGCATTTCGAATTATCCAACAAATGCTTAGACTGTATCAACGCATGAAACGCTTTCAATGCCTCAAGTCGAAAGAGAAGCAGTCAACGCCATGATGTAAGAAAACTTTCTTACATCATGGCATTGACTGCTTCTGTTTTCTTATATCATGGTCAATGCGCTGGGAAAAGTGCTAAGAATTCAGTACGGTGTACAATCTGGGGAATTCAAGTACTCTCGAAGCGCTTTCGAAGCGCGCAATGGCTGCGTTCCGCAAAGCGCATATGCGCGCATATTCGCCCAAGAAAGCGTTTCAGTATCCTGCATATGCGCGCAGTGGCTGCATATATGCTTTATCTATGAAGTTATAACGTTGTGTTAGTGAGCAAAATGCGCGCATAAACTGCTTCAGGTCCGGGGTAGAAGCACTAGTAACTTCAATATCTAGTAACTTTGAGGAATAGGGAAATGATCACAAGCGATCAATAGCCGGACTGTCCTTTATTCAAATTGAAGTTTTTTCGTGAAACGACCAGAATTGTTAGAGAAACGCAAACGTTCGACTTCGTGGATATTATTTTTAATTGTATCCAATGGATTTTTAAGATATGGATTTAGTAGATTTCGAAGTTTATGTAAACGATGATCTAACTTTAAAAATCCGAACCGATCG